GCTGCTGCATCATCAAACTGTACTGTTGTGACTTCCTGTATGCGGTGTTTAACCTTAATCTCTTCTTATCTGTTGTTGATTTCTACATACTTTCGTTTTTGGGCCACTCTCTTCCAACCGGCTGCATACTGGATCATGGTCAGGGCGTTGAAAGCTTCCTCATGTTTCAGTAGTTTTATTAGTTTAAAGATGTTTGGATATGGGGGCTGGACATGTTTCTTCAGCTTGCTGTGCTATCCCTCTGGATGATGAGTAGTCCTCAGTCCCTGTGTTGTGTAATGGTCCCAAAGGTGACTGTTCTGTTCGACCCAGTATGTTGTTACATAGTCTGTAAAGGGCGTATAGTCGATGTTAGTATCAATTTGATCTATGTCGGGTAGGGCATTAATCCACACATCTTCGACTTCAGCAGTAGGCACAGCGTACTAGTTGGTGAATGTTGTTGTCTTCCTTGTATGGAACCTGAATCCCTGTTTCTTGTGCTTTTCTCCAGATACATTGTGTGTAGTGGAAAAAAACAGCCTTTTGAGTTGATTCCAGGAAATACAGAATATGCTGCATTTCGGATGGCGACTTCATAGTCCAGGAAGATAGTGGTAGGCTGAAGTTGTAGTTGGTGTTGGTGGCATACAACTTTGGGTAAAGTCATGAACCTTGTGTATACTAGTTCCCTCTTGGCTGGAAGTAAACTGTGTACAAGTGGATACATTGCGCCGTCAAACATTGCGTGAAATGTGTGAAGTTGGAAGAACAGGCTCGGACAGGAGTAAAATGTACCATCACCATATATGATATCTGCAGCTGCTAAGTGTGTTAGATTCTTTTGAGTACTGAAGATTAACAAACGCCAAACTGTGTTGTCGTCTGTTAGCAGGAATGGGTCACCTTTGGAAGTACGTGCCCAAATACCATCTATGTTGATTTCATCAACAGTTTTTGGTAAAACTGGTAGGTTCTTCTTGCGTTGGTTGTACATGGAAATCTTGCAAGATGGGAAAGTTTGTTATAATATTATCTATCATCAATTTATTTGTTCGGATGACAATAGTTTAAGTTTACAAATTCAATGATTTTTTAATCTTAATTCTATTTATCTGACTTATTTTTAATTTTTAAGTAACTCTTTGAAGAAGGAAAAACATATTACAAATAAACTGTGTTAAATTATTTTTTTTAAAATAATATTATACTTAAACAGTGTAAGAAATATGTTTTCTTTTAAAAAATACAGGTAAATCTTAGGTGAATTTTTAATTAACCTTGATTGTTATAAAAACAAATTATTTATCAAAACATCTATTGTTATTTGCATGTGGGTATAGAAGGAATAGTGGTTTTTAAAAAGTGGGAATAGGAGGAAGACACCATGCACATTTTGACAATTAAAGTCTTGTGTTTTCTTATCTGTTGTATTTGTATTATAATTACATTACATGTATGTTTCACAAGAACCCGTTAGTTTGATTAGCTAACAACATTTGCGCTTCATTCAAAAATTAACCTTCATATCAAAATGAAATGTTACATTCGTGATGACACGTGCTTCCACAAAAAAGTGAACAGCTAAATAAAACAAAAACTTAATATTTTTTTTCATGGTCTTATCCTAAAAATGTAATAATAAGAAATTAATGATTCTATTAGTAATTTGATAGGGTTGTAAAAGTGTTGATCGTGCACACATTTTTAGAATGAAGCGCGGAAAAATGTGCTTCGGTCAACACTTTTACACCCCAATAAAATTACAAAAAGAAGCATTCATTTCTTAAATAAAGTGAAATATTTACGACTAAAGAAATTTCTCGTATTTCTTTAATCGTGACGTTATCTAGTACGTAAAACATGTTCCTACTAAGAGCAAGTCATATTTTTTTACTATAAAGATAATCATAAATAAAATATGACCTTAACATTTAGCTAAATTAATATAAATACACTCTCCCAACTCAGATTGATTAATTTTCGTGATAACTAAGAATATCCAATTAAATATTTTTGTGTTTTATTTCTTTTGATTTCAATTACAAGTATCAAACTCACACAGAGCAATAGTGGGGGCTTTATGGGGCATTGGATGTGACACAACGGGAAGTTATAAACTCTTAGAAAAAACTTAATTGATTGAAACAGTAAATAAATAAAATGATACGTCCGCTAATGAAAAATTCACACTATTTTCATTCAAATTCACGCTAAGGAATCATTTGCCATTTCTTATCGTTTTGTCGCAATGTTTTGTCATTAAGAGTCTAAAACGTAATTTACTAAATCTTGAAAAAATATGAGAAATTTATAATGCAACTACAGTAGTCCATACTTAAAATGACCAAAAATTAAATCATGCATTAATTTTATAAATTCGCACCGACAATCACATCAACTCTTCATTTAAACAAATTAGGTTGTAATTTGAACCTGGATCACTTAACAATATTCTAAGTTTGTTGGAGAGTGGGTATCCATTACTTCATGATAAGTTCTCGCGATCGCTCGTGTTTTATCACGAAGAATGGAAGACAATTCTCTTACCTGATATATAATAAATGCTTTTCATGTACTGATTTGTACTGTACGTTCTTAAATGTACCTTTTGTTATACCTCATTTAATTGAATTACACTTGATTTTGTAGGATCGGTTCATATATTCGTTATGTCAATATATTAATCATTTAATTGCATTAATAACTTCAATTAAATATTATTCCATGTGTTTCGTCGTCTGTAAAAGAGAGGCGAAAGATACCAAAGGGACATTCGAACTCGCAAGTCGAAAATAAACTGACAACGCGACCAAGACTAGAAAAGAAAAAGACCAACAGACAAACACCAGTACACAAAATACAACATAGAAAACTAAAGACTGAGCAACACAAATCCCACCAAAATCTGGGGGTAATCTCAGGTGCTCCGGAAGGGTATTACTAAGCAGATCCTGCTCCACATGTGGCACCCTGTTATGTGGATATCTTTATTATACTGGTGATCAGTCACTGTGTCTAGTATTTTTAGGAATTATAATTAATTCGCTTATTGCTTATTGCAATACTTCAATGTTTCTTTTGTATTTCTATATAGTTTGTACATCTATGACGTACATCAACTACAGATACATGTAATAAGTGTAAGATGGTATGATTTCTTACAAACATATTTTCAATGACTTAAGTTCAATTAAATAGTTACAAACCTGCATCAGTATCTGAAATTTCGATAAAATTTTGAAACTTCACGTTTTTTGTCTTTCTTTATACATCTATTTTCCTCTATTACCTTTATGTATGGTAACGGTGACCTTTCATTTCAGCAAAACAAAGAAATTTTTGAGTCTGTTCAATCATATATCAGAATTACACAAAGATTTAGAACATTCAATTAAAATTCTGAATTCCTACTTTCCAACTCTGCACTCCAGTCCAGTCCTCTATAATATTCCATATTATTTTGTATTTTTTGTTTTTGTTTTTGTTTGTATATATTGCATGCATTCCTACTATGTTTTTCGTCATTATCTAATTTATTTTGTGTTTATATTTTTATAAGGAGAGGACGTCACTAATGTTGTTATAGCTTGTGTCCAATCCCTTTTGCTATTTTTGCAAATAAAATATGTTTAAACTAAACTATGTATGTATGGATTTATTTTATTTATTGAATTAGTTTATTTATTGTACTTAAAAAAAAATGAATGAATATATAAATGTGGCAAAATACTTTTCGATGCTTGAACTGAAAAGGGTAAATGACGCAAAGTCTTTGCAAAATATTCAACACGTGATTCAATAAACACGTTCAAACTGATGCAATGTGATCTCTAAAAATACTCTTGTAATTTAAAGGAACTGCATGAAAGAATAAAAAAAAGAAGCAATGCAGTGAAAATTGCAAGAAATTTGAACCATGATAAGGACACATACTAAACAATATTTTTCAAAAGAAACACACCACAAAAGGTATTTAAAACATGATAATGAAGACCTTTACACTCATACTATAAGAGAAAACAAGAATTCCCTTTCGAATTATCTACCAAAAAAAAAAAAACCCAAAACAAACGAAAAAACCAAAAAAGAATTAATAAATTAATAGAAATGTACTTGATATGCTTGTCAAGAACTTCGCCAATACTGTTTTGTTCATTTAGAAATTGATGTTGATGTGAGATATTCGTTGATCTCAGTTGGTTTCAATTACAAATTGAGTGTACTTGGAACAAATTGAAACTTGGCATATAATACGGACGCCTTTTCATTGTTAAAGACGGAAGCTGACAAAAGTCATGTTTAAAAGTGAAAATAAATGTTCGCGCGAAAATTAATAAGCCGTAAAATATCCCCCTGCAACCATCCCCCTCCCGAAAATTATGTGGTAGTCCGGCCTCGGGCTAGTGAAACGTTTTATTTTTAATTACTGAACACTTTTTGAGTTTGGGACATCTAAATACGTATATAACTTAATTCATAATATTATTACATCATTTTTATCCAATAGATGTTCCTTCCTGAAATCCCGCACAAGGCCCACGTTGACTGTTGACTGCATGTATAATCGAAACATGATTTAAACTACTTGTAAACATTTACTTATTTTAATCAATAGGAACATAGTAAAGTTGATTTAAAGTGTTGAGGACACCAACACCACACCGAGTTAGCTCAATGTGAACACGGCCTAGGTATAACTGAATGTGCCATGAAAAAGTTTGTACTACTATCGTTTTTATGTCTCGGGCCAATACAGCTTACCTCGTCCAAAATTCCGAGTTTACTTGGACATAAAACAGGATCAATATGAAAACTCTCTTTACCCTTTTTTTTTTATTCATTTTTTTGGGAGGGGGGGGGGGGGGAACGATCAATATTTGTAACCATTTCAACCGTCTTTTAAAATAAATAATATATTTTTTTATGTTGTCATCCTTGAATATCACGGGAGTATCAATTTTCATAATATCTATAAAATGAGGCATCTGTTGAATGTTTTAAATGTCAATAGCGACAGGTGCAGACCCTCACGCAATTTTTACATGCATGCAATGTTAAGGAAGTTTTGTTCGTAATAGAAGCATCTCACTACTAGACTTTAAAGTCCTGTCTACAAGTATTGGTATGTCAAATAATGTTATTTAAGTATAATCAATATAATCAATTGTTTTCGTTGCATCATTGCAATGTTTTTTTTTTCATTTAGAAGATGTAGAGAGATAAATAACAGTATTGTGTTACAAATAACAAATGTATAATAGGTCTGCTGTTTTTCAAATGTCTGCAACATTAGTTTCATTAAAAATATAAGACTGAGAATAAATGATGTAAAATGACTTACTGCAAACATTTTGTTTATGAGGATGGTTATTTTTATTTTTTTAATGCATATAATTATTTTTAGTGTGTAAGTTAATTCGTGCATTACTGTTATTTGTTGGTAAACCCTGTTTGTGCGAGGGGTCATATTTGGGAGCATTTTCAAATAGTCGTAAAAAGGAAAATTAGCCCCGCTTCAAAAAATGTCCACGTTTTCAGTTCTAGAAACGAAAAAAAAAAAATGAAAACAACGCTTTATAAAATTCATGCGTCCGAAGCGCTTTTCAGGATTTACCTTCATCAGGAACGCTCAAAGCCGAATATTTGAAAATCAAGGATGTATATGAACCGAAACAGTTAAAGAGCTATATGACTAAAAAGGACCTAAAAATAATAGCCAATTTTGTCTATGGTCAAACTTGCCCGAGGGAGTTGATATCTTAGTTTCGCAATAATTTCTAAATTTATTATAACTGACAATTTTAGAAAGTTTTTTTTATAAATCATGTCATTACCAAAGTACTGACTACTGAGCTAAGTAATGATGTCCTCGTGGAAAGGTGCTTCAAATGTAACTTTTTGTCAGTATTGAAGCGATACATTTTTAAAAGTGTAATACCATTTTTCAATAAATGTTTTCCACTTATTATATAATCTCGCCTACTTCCTTTGAAACTTCTAACTTCTATTTATTTGAATGATTTAAAAATCTTGGAATAGAGAAATCAACTCAAAATCAACACAAGGAAGCACTTAAATTGTCCCTTTTAATAAAAGTGACGCAATGCCGTGTCATTTCTTAAACAATAAGAAAAACTTTCTATATTATCGACAATAATGCCCCAATACTTTTACCTGAGATTTCACAACATTTACATGATGCTTTAAATGGGATATGTGCATTTGTCAAACTTTAGAATTGCTATAGAAAAATTAAAAAAGCCCTGAATAACTAAATCTGTCGGTGTGTAATGATTAACATTTCAGTATGATGAACGTGGACATTCTTTACATTAATGCTTATACTTACACTTATACATTTTGTACTTCAGGAAAGTCACATAACACTAAAAATGAAGGAAAACTCTGGGGAGAAACACTTTGAAATTACTTTGACTGATTTTGTTCTGATTTGTATCTGAAACAGATATAAAAAAAAAGGATCAAAGTCTCAAATGGCTTGGTTGCAATATTTCTGACTTATCTATGTAGAAAAGAATGTTTAAAATGTGAAAAAAAATCTTCAAACCATTTCATAATATCAGGTGCACAACTGCAACATGTGCTAAAATTGACGAAGCAAGTCTGGAAAAATGAAGAAAAAAAACGGTTGATATAGAGATATGACTTGCCTGCGTGTATTGCGGACCTGTTTCTGTATTGTTATGAGTTACAATTTAAGACTAAAATCAGCAAAGACCCATCGAAAAAACATCTGATTCGAAAATTTAATAACACTTTTAGATATTTAGATGATATATTGGCTCTCAATAATGACGACTTCAGTATGTACACTAAAGAAATTTATCCTGCCGAACTGACTTTGAGTAAATATATTCAATATATTCAAATGTTTATTGTCATAAAAACTCTTAACAATAAGTTTGTGACAAATCATATGAATACAAACATACACAAAATACTTTTCACAAACAAAACCATAGGAAAACATATCCCATAAAACATATAAAAGTAAAAAAGCAAAACAATCTATATATCCTCACTGTCCTCAGTTCTAATGCCTGTTTAAAAAAGGACCCTAAGCTTTCTACTTCTTTTGAGGTTGATGGGCAAAGAAGATCTTTATTTTTTTCATTTTCTTGCCAGGACATAAAATCTGGCATATGCTTAACTACATTTCCTATAAAGTTATCTCTTAGTTTAGAATTTTTTCTACAGTATAAAATAAAATGAGCTTCATCCTCCAATGTATTAATTTACAGGATGGGCATAGTCTTTTTTCTCTAGGTATTTTTAAATGTCTTCCTTTTTCTATCAATAAATTATGGTCGCTAATTCTCATTTTTGTTAATATGTTACTTCTCTTTTCAAAAGACTTACAGTTTAAGTAGTTTTCCATTTCAAATTTTGCTTCAAACTTTTATATAAATATAATTTACTTTTTTTATCTATTTGTTCAAATTTTTGTTTAAATACATTTTTGTAGAAATTTAAAAATTGGTGTTTTAAGGTTTTTTTTTTAACAACTTTGAGTAATTTTTTCTTTTGTTTCCTTCAAGAATGAATTGATACTTCCATGTTTACCTATTTCAAAATATTTTTAACATATGTAAACCAGGTATAGCAACCTGATTCATCCAAACTTTTAGAAAGTAAATAGGATTCATATAATAATGGATTAGTTTCAGAATTTAATAATCTTGATAAGTAAAGCTAATACTAACAATGAACACTGCCCTTTCCTGGATCTTGATATCTTTATCTTTAACGGGAAGCTTAATACCGAAATTTATGATAAAAGAAATGATTTTTCATTTCCTATTGTTAATTATCCATTTTTAGATGGTGACGTTCCCTTGTCACCATCTTATGGTGTTTATATATTTCAACTTGTTCGATTCGCTCGTGTATGTAACAACGTATTTGATTTCAACGAAAGAAATATCTGTATTACTGAAAAATTATTACAGCATGGTTTTCTGGAGCTGGCATGTCAGTAACTGCTATTAGTCCTTTGTTAATTTATGTATCATTGTCATTTTTGTTACTTATTCTGACATCGGATTTGGACTTCTTTTAAAATGAGTTTTACTGTGCGTATTGCTATGTGTTTCTTTATTCTACATTGGCTAGAGGTATAGGGGGAGGGTTGAGATCTCACAAAACATGTTTAACCCCGCCGCATTTTTGAGCCTGTCCCAGGTCAGGAGCCTCTGGTCTTTGTTAGTCTTGTATGTTTTTTAATTTTAGTTCATTTATATGTTTTGGAGTTAAGTGTGACGTTCACTTTCACTAACTAGTACACAATTTTATTTAGGGGCCAGCTAAGGACAACCTCCGGGTGCGGGATTTTCTCACTGCGTTGAAGACCCATTGGTGGCCTTCGTCTGTTGTCTGCTCTTTGGTCGGGTTGTTGTCTCTTTGACATATTCCCCATTTCCATTCTCAATTTTATGTAATTTTGATAGTAAAATGTAAATAACAGGAACATGTAAATGCCAAATTTATAATATTGAAGGTCGTAATGGAATAGTATTTTACTCAACAGAGCAGTTTGAATACATATAGTAGGAAACTCCAATGAATGAAACATGTATACATTGTACATGCAAGATATGCCGGATTCCAATCGTTATCTTTCCGTCAAAGAATTTTGTTGAAGCAACATGATGTAGAGGTGCCAAATAAAATTTATGGGAATACATAAACATTTCATAGCTTGCTTCCTTAACAACTACCTTCATATTCAAAGGAAAACATTCTTCCTTTTCAACATGTTCACATCAGAAGAATTTCTTTGGAAGCAGAGTATATTTAGTTAAACATGTTTAACATCGCAACATTCTTAATGAGCCTTGTCCCAATTCAGGAGTTTGTAATTCTATCTGTTGTGGATGATTGCTGTCTTTAAGTTATTTTCATGAATTTATAGGTCATAATTTCAGGTTGTTGTTTTTCAAGTTTGAATTGTTTCAAATTTTGTCATGTCTTAATTTGTTTAAACTGACCATACAGTATGGGTTTTGATCATTGTTGAAGGCTGTACATTCACCTATAATTGTTCTTTGCGTATTTTGACTCTGCTGGATAGTTGATTCATTGGCAATTATACCACATCTACTTCTTTTTATATTAGTACCTTGAATATCATGCATATTGCAGTAACTTTTTCTTTCTGACCTATTTAAACCGGTGAGAAAAAACAAGAGTGTAAAAATGGCAACAATTACAAATTACGAAAAATCTCCTGTCCTGTTAGCGACATTTGATTGAGAGCGCACAATCATTTCTTTAATTTTTGGCAACATTACTGTAGATTACCATGCAACATGTGCAATGTTCAAATATTAACGTAACAAACAAAAACTTAGGAAATTGCATTGTGCGAGACCGGGTTCGTCGACAGGGAACATTAACTTACTATGTCCCTGTTCCAAGTCAGTAGCCTGCCAGTTTCTTAGATTACATAATAACATATGATTGCAAGGAAGGTAACAACACTATAGGATTTCTATTATCTCAACTCGATCGATATCCATGATTAAATCAACATTGCAGTCTAGATGTATATCACTTCAGAATTGCAAGAAAAACATGCTTGCTAAAAATTCACTTTTATAATTTGAAGCGATGGCCTATTTTTGTATTCAGCATTCAATTATTAAAATACACGTCACTTCAAACCGCGATGACCGAGTAAAAACTTATAATTGTTATGAAGATTTATAATTAATACTATCAATTTTAGCAATATGAATTACTTACCGGCACACCGAAATATAGACTCAGTTTTGTTAATATATAAATAAGAAGATGTGGTATGAGTGCCAATGAGACAACTATCAATCCAAGTCACAATGTGTAAAAAGTAAACAATTATAGGTCAAAGTACGGCCTTCAACACGGAGCCTTGGCTCACACCGAACAGCAAGCTATAAAGGGCCCCAAAAAGACTAGTGTAAAACAATTCAAACAGGAAAACCAACGGTCTAATCTATTATATAAAAAAACGAGAAACACTTATGAACCACACCAACAAACGACAACCACTGAACAACAAGCTCCTGACTTAGGACAGGTGCATAAAAATGCAGCTGGTTTAAACGTTTTAACAGGCGCCAACCTTCACCCTAACCTGAAAGTGGTATAACATTACAACATAAAAAGACACACAATAAAATATCAATTGAAATGGCTTAACTCGATCAAAAGGACAATACACAAAAACAAGTATATATACACTGAACGAATGAGTTTGATCTATGACACAATATAAATAACAAAGATGTTTCAATGTCAAAAAGACAACTTTAACCTAGGACAAAATGGCGTTAAATAAAGTAACGTACACAGGTAAATTTAAATATAATAATTTTGTTGTTAGTACAGAAACATTTTTTATACAATAAATTTGTTGTTCATAGTACGAGTACAGAAGTGAAATATCCTCCCCCCCCCCCCCCCCCCCGCTGTCATACTAAATACTTATCAAAAGTGGTACATATTAAAAATAGTAAGACGAGATATAACACAAAATAAGTAAACATTGAATAACAGAAATGCATTACAAACTGTGTCAACAGGTCAAATTAACACGGAAGTACGATTTGAGAGTTGTTGTTTGTTTACATGACTGTATTCATTTGTTTAAAAACGAAGTCTGCATCTCGTTTAGAACTATGAATAGGAGGAGTTATGAGGAGGATGTGTCTGAAAATGAAACTAAGAAGACAAAAAGCAGAGAGAAACAGGTATGCAAATACAATTTTTATTATATGTTCAGCCTTATGTATGAAACCTGAATTTTAAAATACAAAATTGTTCGTCGCATTACATTACATAATCTTTTTAATAGCCACCTGCTTATTGGGAAATATTCAGTGTCAGATAAATTTTCTACTAAAAAACCCATTTTTTGCGACTTGTCACCGAATATTTACTTGCCATTGACAACATGATGAGTGCCTTTAGTGGAGCAGGGACTGCTTATAATTTCGCGTGTTGTTGGGGCTCGTATAGCTCGAAGTCTAGTTTTCTATTTAAAGTTGTGTGGCTGCTGTTTGTCTTTTCGCCAGTGGTACCTGCCGTAGGTAGATATCAAAATGTATTACTTAAATCCATTGGTAATATTCGTCATGAATATGCATAACATGTGTTGTTGTCGCTTGACGTAAATCCATCGAACGATCACTTGGTCAATCAATCAATCCATAAATATACATGTATGAAACATTTTCTATTTGACAATAAGCCATCTATATATATAGATAAAAGGAGACTTATACTCTATAAAGGCGATATTCGTCAATACACATTTTGCATTCTATATTTTCATACTTTTATTAACAGCAATTGTTTATGGTACCCAAGATTTTGTTCGTATTGTTGTTCATAGGAATTGCATATCTCGCTGTTTCTACATCACTCCGAATGCAGGGAAAAAGGTATGAAGGGCTATCCTGTAGTTGGTCTCGTAAACATGTAAATATTTTAGAGACAGTAATTGTTTTTAGAAACTTAGAAACTTGTAAATACCGACATTGTTGTATATCTTATATCTTATTATCAGTCTGGCAGATTTGGTGAATTTTCATATTATACAGTTATTTATCATATACTTGTATAAAATATTACTAAAATTTTACAGTTCAATAACATTTAAAAATATTAAAAGGCTATGAAAGGATTACTAAATTTAGGTTTATTAATCAGATTCTTAAGAATTTTCTCAGCGGGCTGATAAAGGAACCTTTATTGACTGCTTCCGGAATGTTATCACATGCCTTTCCGTTAATGTCCGTGACGTTTATCACATGCAACTTCGTGCATTTCCGTAAATTTGTTCGAAAACGACAACACAGTGCGGAAAACCGCAAGTGATTTAAGACTTTTCACAAAATGGTTGAGGAGCAAATTTCAAACTAAGAACATGACAATTGTTGTGACAAGTTAAATAAAATGCTTGTAATATCAATAAAAACAATTAAATTTAAGAAATTTGTATTTGGTTGTGTGTAAATTATTATCTAAAAATTCATGGAAAGACAAAATTTTAATTTATAATTCTTGTCTGTATTTCTTCTGTTGAAGTATATGATAAAAAGATAATTACATGTCATTTATCATATCAGACTCTTTATCGGCCCTCGTTCATGATATCAGCCCTCGAGCCTGCGGCTCTTGGGCTGATAAAGGGTCTGATATGAAAAATGCCATGTAATAATCTATACTTATCATATACTTGTATAAAATATTACTAAAATTTTACAGTTCAATAACATTTAAAAATATTAAAAGGCTATGCAAGGATTACTAGGTTTATTGATCAGATTCCTAAGAATTTCCTTAGCGGGCTGATAAAGGAACCTTTATTGACTGCTTCCGGAATGTTATCACATGCCTTTCCGTTAATTTCCGTGACGTTTATCACATGCAACTTCGTGCATTTCCGGAAATTTGTTCGAAACGACAACACAGTGCGGAAAACCGCAAGTGATTTAAGACTTTTCACAAAATGGTTGAGGCGCAAATTTCAAACTAAGAACATGATAATTGTTGTGACAAGATAAATAAAATGCTTGTAATATCAATAAAAACAATTAAAGTTAAGAAATTTGTATTTGGTTGTCTGTAATTTATTATCTAAAAAATTATGGAAAGACAAAATTATAATTAATAGTTCTTGTCTGTATTTCTTGTGTTAAAGTATATGATAAAAAGATAATTACATGTCATTTATCATATCAGACCCTTTAACGGCCCTCGTTCATGATATCAGCCCTCGAGCCTGCGGCTCTTGGGCTGATATCATGACCTAGGGCCGATAAAGGGTCTGATATGAAAAATGCCATGTAATAATCTATACATATCAACTTCTTGTTTTATTATCAACATTGAGGGTAAAAAATAATTTTGTATAACATTCAACTTGTGCAATTTAACATCAATTTTAGTAGAGGTATGTTATGTAAATACCCTCTGGTTAATACAATTTGCAAAATGCATTTTGCGTAATGAAATGGTCTATTTTCGGTTATTTTTTTTTAATCTGTACCGTACGTTTATTTTGTCGATTTAAAATAAGGAGATGTGGTATGAATGCCAATGAGACACCTATTCACCAGACACCAAAATGACCATATAAAATGTTTTATGAAACAAGATGTGGAGTATACAGAAAGGATACAGCAATCCAAAAACACTGAAAAATAACCAAAAGAGATCTAGAGGACAATATAGATGTTTATATACCCCTGGATTTCGAATATCTGGGTTTGATCGTACCTGATGGAGGTAAATCCTTAAAAAAAAACGCTTCCGAAGAACCAAATTTCAAAGTGTTATTCTTCACCAATTGACAGATGTCTGAACAGTATGACAAGCTCTAAGTATATGTAACAGAATGATAATCCCTTTCTTCATGATTAAGTACGAGCGTTAGCATAATTATTTTTACTTAGAATATAGCAAATCGTGATTAGTACTGATCTGATGAATTAAACCAAAAAATAAATATATCATGCATGTCAACTGTTTCATCATAAAAAAATATCTCATTTATAAAGAACCAATCTATAGAGCCCTTAAATTTGAATACTATCCATGTAAACTGATGAGCATGTGAATAAACGTATTCTTAATGGTTATCAATTATCTAACTTTAATAAGATCTTTCAGTATTGTTTTTCATCGGTAATAACATTTATTTTCTTATGAATTAATTAAATCTTATAACTAAATATGTATTCCTATATAGTTATGAACACTTACGGTTATACATCTTATCCAAACTAATATTTTGGCATTGTACTATTCCATGTTCTAACGGACTGTTTATGAAGTCTTTACACTAAATCCGTTGGATGTGGACTGATTGATATTTTAGTCTGGGAAACATGGAACTAGCTTTCAGTAACTGCGAGTGCTTTAAGATCGGTACGTTTTGTCTTTAGTCTTTTTTAGTTGTTTTTCTATGTTTCGATAATTTTATAACAGAGGTGTGAATCTAAACCATAATGGAAAACGGGAAGAAGTAGCAACAGAAAATCCAAGAAATAATGGTTTAATTGAAAATCTTCTGTCAAGAACAAAACCGTTTAAAGTAGATGTTGGTAAGATTCTTTTTGTTGTTGTTGTTTTTAATTTATATTGACTCAGGTTTCTAACGAAAGAAAAAAAATATTTACCCAAAGAAAAAAATAAGACTTTATACACAAGGACTATTTCATCATATCTCTTTGTTTAGAACAACAAATGTGTATATGTATAGAACGGATAAATATTTATAATATAAGAGGTGTGTTATACGTCAATGAAACAGCAACCCAACTACATACAAATTCCAGAAGCTACAGCCAAACAAACGGTCTCCAAATTTCTGTACTGACCTTACATATTAACCTAAATTGTTATATCAATCTAAGAGACTAGCAAAATCTGCCATCACCACGAAACCCTCCACGGGACCAAAAAAAAATATAACAGTTAAGTTTAAATTGACAAATAAGGTCTGAAAATTATGGAACTGCAATTAAATCAAAACCAAGAAAACAAACAATCAAACACATTGTATTTAAACAAATAATATGTGTCAATAGGACATCAGGTCCAACTCGCATTACCACATTGCCGTGTTTAGTGAACTGTGAAATCTTAGTCAAATCCTCATTTGACATATATGTTAAACAGTTCAATTAATTATGCACATATACGTAATAAGTTTAATGTTGATATGATCATAAACTACCTTAAACAAAAATTTTAGGATATTACATTTCCATGAACCATGAAGTCTGGGTCAAAATTCTAATTTGGCATATAAAAATTTAAACAGCTAACTTTTAATAGTTTTATACGGAAGCCCATAGGGGACCTAAAAAAATTAATATTTATATCGATATATTTATTTCGTTATATCGATATAATTAAATAGTTATCTCGATATAATTAAATCGTTATTTCGATATAATTATATCGTTATCTCGATAATTATCAAACAAAATCACCATGATCACTGCCCTATAGTTATCAGAAAATGTTTGTCAGTTCATCTGTCTGTCTGTGTTTCCTAAAGTATACATGGCTTGACTGAAATTGAATAAAAACTATACACATATGATTAACCTAGACATGCTTGAGAGAGCTCCCTTTTGATTTTGAAGCTTTTTATAATGCCTCCGCGCATATGCAGCGGGACGTCTTAAGTTTTTGCCATGTCCGTATGTCCGTCCTGAAACTTTCGTCACAGATTTCTCGGTTTCTATTCAATAGAATGATTTGATCTGTGGTATGTGACTTTGACATGATGAGTTGTACGTTGAAAGCAATTTTCATACCCAGCAGCTGTCCACTTCCTGTTTCACGGAACATTGAAATTTTGCAGAATGCTATATAATACAATTTTTCGTCGCATTTGTCTCAGCAATTATTATCGGAATGAATTGATATTTGGTATATGACCTTGCCATAGTGAGTTGTGCGTTGTACGCACTTTTCAGATTTTGCGTAATTTTCTTCCTGGTTAAATGGCGGCCATTTTCCCGCTAAAATTGAACTTTGGCAGATTTTAACGATATTTGGTATATAAAGTAAACACAGAATTCCGAGTTGACTGGTGATGACGAACATTTATTACAAGCAGCTATTTGTAAGATGGCCGCCATTTTTCCGCCAAAAACTTCAACATCCATGAATTTGAATGATATTTGGTTTGTAAGGTAAACATGGTATATTGTGTTGAATAGCCACAAGGAAAATAACTTGCCAGCAGCCATTTTCTTTTGCGTTCCTGTATTCAATACAATGTGTCTATCCACAATGATGATTGTGTCAAAGAGCAACTGTCAATCCATATCAGCCTTCAACGTACAGGGTTACACTGTATATCGGGTTCAACTAGTGGGGTCATCTGTGTCCCTACGGGGACAACCATTTGCTAGTTGTTTCCCTGTGTTTTGTCTCGCGAGCGACTTTTTTCCAGGAAGCGAGACTTAGGGTTACTGATTCTGACGACGACGGCGACGTCCACAATTGTTAAAGTTTTTAAGCTCACCTCACTAAACAGGGTGAGCTTTTGCTGTCACCTTGCATCCGTCGTCCGTCTGTCCATCATTCTTAAACTTTTCTTCAAAGATCTTCGTCTCTGAAACCCCTGAAGGGATTGTTTCAAACTTGGTATTTTTTATCTATATGATGTTCTTTACCAAGTTTGTGAAATTTATGGTCACCCGCAAAAAAACATGGCCGCCATGGCTAAAAAAAGACCACAAGGTCTGACACATGTTTTTTTGCAAATAAGTTAAAAACGGTAACAGGGTTGAGTAAAATTGATCAGCACATTTAGATCTACCTAAGCCGAAATTTTGAGGTCAATCAGAAAACCCGTCAAGGAGTTGTGGCCCTTTATTTGCAGTTTTTTTCAAATTTTCATCATATTTGATCAAATATCTTGAAAACTGTAACAGCTTGAGCCTTAGTTTAAATTACAAATAGTTCAGATCATCAAGAGAAGGAGGAGAAATTTTCTGGAATTTTCAAGATGGCCGCCATTTCAAAATGGCAGCTGTCCAAAAGTCAAATTAGTTCATAAAAAATCCGAAGATGATCCAATCTTAATGGAAATCGGTATAGAAGAGATCCAAAATGGCCGTCGTAAAAAACAAAAATGTTAAGTTGCTCAGATTTAGACGAAATTTGGTGTCCAAGTAGATTATGACGTGGTTATTGCATTTTTGTCATTGAACTGTCGATTTTCAAAATGGCGGCCATTTCACAGGTGAGCTATTAAGGGTCCTTGAAGCCTCTAGTTTTTATACCTGTTAAATGTTTCACTAGGTTCTTGTCCTGATTATGCACGGAATATTTGTGACTGGACATTTAGCAACAAACTCAGCTACTATACATGGTAGACCATGCAATGATATTTTGTCGAGAAATAAATCGTAGGTAGTACATCTGGGTTCACTAAGAATATGGTCACTCCTACCTACTTTTGATGCTTATACATTTATCAATAACAGAAGGGAAATCCTGTGGCTCATAGACACATTTTCTAGTTTACTTTATATTTTAGGCAAGGCATCTGTGACCCATGGACACATTCTGTCTTCATTAGGGCCCCATATTGAGGATCGGTTGATAATCATCATATTAAGATGTACATGTCTTCTTTTGGGCAATGTATGAGAAATCAAAAGGGAGCTTCCTTAAGCATGTCTAGGTAAATCATATGTGTATAGGTTTTATTTAATTTCAGTCAAGCCATGTATACTTTAGGAAACCCAGACAGATAAATGAACTGACAAACATTTACTGATAACTATAGGGCAGTGATCATGGTGATTTCGTTTGATAATTATCGAGATAACGATATAATTATACCGAGATAACGATTTAATTATATCGAGATAACGATTTAATTATTACGAGATAACTATATAAATATATCGAGATATAAACGATTTAATTATCTCGAAATAACGATATATATATATTGAGATAACGATATATTATTTTTAGGTCCTCTATGGGCGTCCGTAGTTTTATAATGAATATGTGTACTAAGTTTCAAATTGATTGGACCACAAATTACCTTAAACCAAAAACTTCACCTACCTTTAAACCAAAACTTTTACCTGATACGCGTCTGATGAACTAACGGACGGACGACCGCAAAGGCCGGTAAAGATAATGCCCCTTCACTATCGTAGGCGGGACATACACATCATAAATTCAACCTGTTTGTCTTAAAACACATACATTCCGAAAGAGCCTGAAATGTGTACAAATGTTAAATTTTCTGATACAATATTCCGATTTATTCACCTAATCGTGAAGAAAAATATTATTCCAAAAGCAAAGTTATTTGTAGTACATAACGACAAAGTATATATTATGATGAAATGGCCCTGCAATAGTTTAATTACAAATCATATGAAGCTTATTTAATGACAAATACAATTTGTCTTAAAATAAGGAGATGTGGTATGATTGCCAAAGAAAAAACAATTCAGGGCAATGATGTATAAATCAACTACGTACATACAGGTCACAATATGACCTTAATCAGTTAGCAAAACATATACCGTATATTTAAGATATAAAACCCGGGATAATTAAATGTGACAAAATTAGAAAGATAACGCAATCGGCCTGATATATTGATAAGCTTATACAATGAAACGAATAAGATGTATGGCAGGCGACAACCAACAACAAAAAGACTGGACTACAGGCTTTAGGCTTGAAACAGGCAGGGTAGGGCTTTTAAAGCATGTTTGTGCTTATACAACCCATCTCATAACCTAATAATACATGTACGTCTGACATATTCAAGTGTTTGTCTTTTTTAAGGAATGAGAAGCGATTACAGACTTCAAGACTGTGATGGATCACATTTTAAAAGGACTTTTCCAGACATAGACTATGCATTTTTTGGATACAACATTTTGAAAGGTTATCCATTAGCTAATGGACACGATCCTGGATTCACATACCCGATATTTGAAACTGATTACACGGAGAGACGGAAATCGTCAGATTGTAGATATAGGATTCCACGCGGGCTTGTTGTAGTCCCAGATGTATCATGTATTACATCCTTTTCCTCAACAACGGTTCAAAATAAGTACGAACTGACGAAATCATTATCACAATCGGCAAAGGTAAGCGTAGGAGTAGGCATAGTTGCCTTTTCTGCGTCGGCAGGATATAAGGAGTCTTCCTCTGAATTATCAACCGGAGAATTTGTGAAAATTATTTCAACAGCAAAATGTACGTACTACTTCTGCAAGCTAGATAAAGTGAACCATCCTTATTTTACGAAATCATTTATATCATCGGTGAAAAAACTGGATGAATCCACACAAGACCAGATTTATCTAGATTTTTTTCACTATTATGGAACACACTTTCTGAACTATACTGAATTTGGAGCAAGGTTCACATACGAACATACGATGGATTCCAAGACTTTTCAGAAAAAGGAAGAGGCGGGGCATAATGTTGGAGTTGATGCGAGCTATTCTGGTGAATATAACATAGGAGGTGGTTTTAACATGGAATCGACGCACAAACAGGATGCTTCTAATTTTGCTAAAGATGTAACAACAAAGACATTTACTGCCCCTCCTCCTGCAAACGGTGATGCACTGACATGGGTGTCAACGGTAAAACAGAGTCCTGTTCCTATGAGTTATAAGCTGAGTCCAATATCCGAGCTATTCACTGAAAAATATATGAAGGGGTTGAACGTCAATTACCAAAAAATTGCTGAAAAATTGGATAAATTGCAATCAGCGTATTGCCTTTACCTTAGAGATATGGGCAAAGTTGATTCATGCAAGCCTCTCAAACCGGGTTTAATCCTTAGTGAAACAACCATCGCTTATAAATACAAATCAATGGCAGCTAAAAGCTTCAAAGAATGCATTGATCTTTGTGAAGAGGAAACTAAATGCTTGGCCAGCACATTTTGTGTAGGGTGCTCGCCTCGGGTAGACAGACATCATCAATGTTATATGCTTACAAATGACAAGAGAGAGAAAAAAGGAATTCAGATAGGACCTATTGTTAACCGTGAACGATGGGATACTGTTATATTCAACTTTAAAATACCCTCATTGTCTACCCTTGCATTTACTAAAACTGCTGTTGTAGGTAGATCTAGAGGACCAAATGATTACAATACCTTAGAAAAATGCACGGAAGGGTGCACTGGTGATGCGTATTGTGTGGCGTTCACATTCTGTACCTGTTCAACGAGGAGAACCAAATGTAAAATCTATACCGAGGATGGAATGAGCGGTCTCAAGGCGGATTATGAGAGCACCACATATTTTGTGCCACTGTCTCACAAATTTTGAATGTTTACTAAAACTGAAAATCAAGAAAAATAAATCAATATTCTCTTTATAAGTTTTTTTTTTAAACTGAAGACTGAAATAAATAGTAAACATGTAATATCAAAAGTATACAATGTACGCCAATAAGACAGCAACCAAACGAAATAACAAAATACTTTTTGAGGTGAAAGTCAGCGGCGGATCAGGGTAAGAGGGTCGTAGAGGGCGATCGTCCCCCTTTGGTCGCAAACAAATCAAAATATGATGTTTCTTACTATTGATATGACTTTTTAGCCTGAAATTGTCCATTTTTTTTATAAAACTATGCTTCCCCCTTTCAAAAATCATGGATCCGTCCCCTCAATGTGCAAGTATTTATGTCACAGAGTGTGTTTTGAAAGAGCGGGAGTTGTACAACAGAAACTAAAGGTTAATTGCAGCAGAAAATAGGCTCTGTTCGGGATCAAACATAAAAACGGTAGAAAAGACGCATACAATCCCTTCCAATGTCACAATTGCCCAAAGGTGTTGTAACCTGGGTTTAGTTCAAGTATATAATGTATTGCCCAATACGCCGTTTGGATATAAAAATAAGAAGATGTGAGTATGATTGAAAAACAAATATGATATACAGCAACAAACGACAACCACTGAATTACAGGCGCTTGATATGGGATAGGCACATACAGAGTGTGGCGGGATAAACTAGTTTGAATCATGCATCTAAGACTAAAATATTAAACAGTACACATCCAACATCCAATGAATTTAGTGTAAAGACACCATTAACAGTCAGAGAAAACATGACCTTGTGCAATGCCAAGATATATACAGGTATCGACAGATTGTAGAGCCATGAATGTGCATATGTTTATAAAAATAATATTTAGTTTGATTTTAATTTACTGATATCAGAACCAATATTAATACCAATAAAAACAATATTCAATGATTTTGTAGCATGATAGTACGATTGAAGCAATAGCTAATGGTACCATCGTAAACTGTAGTAGTCATTTGTCAGAAAAAACAATCGTTGGTCCAATGATATTTAAAACTTGATACACCAAGTGAACCATAAACTTGACGCGTATAACTAAATAAGCTTTCACATACCAATAAAATTATAAAAAGAAGCATGAACAGAAGCTTTCAATTCTTTTAACTACATTTTTATGATACAATCATAAAATTTAAAGTTGTCGCAAGCTTAAAGTCTGTTTTTCAATGCATTATTTTAACATTATCACGGATAGCACGTGTAGTCATATCTGTTGTGTTTCATACGGAAATAATTTAATTTTGGATGTAACACGTCTTCAGATTGGCAGAAAGTTTTTTGTCTATCAGCTCATAGACACAATTTTGCGAGTCATGTGACCGTGACGTCATCAATTTTTTTCACGATTTACTCCTTAAAAATGGAATTAAGAATTAAATTATAAAGAACGACTGTAATTTTTTCCCTGTCTATTCGAAATAACTTTAAAAATGTGGTGCACACTTTTAAATAACCCGCTATGCACAACATTTTTGATGCTATTTCTTCATAGACAGAAAAAATATTACAGTCATTCCTTACATAAAATATGAAATTAGAGTGCCTCGCAATTAACGTCAGCCAATCAAAATTGCGGATTCTAATGAAGCATACATGTACATTTAATGTATTAGTAAGTATACGGAAATAAAACTTGATATTGGAGTACCTCCGTGACAATGTTAAAATAATGCATTAAAATACAAACGAAAAGCTTGATATAACTTTTTATAAGTTAAAGGGTTGTAAAAGCGTTGATCGTGTGCACATTTATAATTTGAAGCGCTTTCGCAGCCCAATAAAATTATAAAAAGAAGCATACAATTCTTAAATGCTTAAATGCAATTTTAAGCTCTTGATCGCCCGAGTCTTGAAAATTAATTAATAAAAACATGTATTATCAAATATATGTCATCAAATTCCTCCAATTAGAGGACAACACACGTCTAAATAAAACCCCTAATGAGGTTCATGACATGGGACTGGTAAATTGTCTTAAATCTAGTATGTCAATTAAGGATTTGTAGGATACTAGACTAAGTAGTAAATCCAAATATTTATGACGTCTTGAAAGGCTATTTTTTTTTCTTTGACGCCATCCTCAGTCAAAATAATTATGTCTTGAAAGGCTATTTTAATTTGAGGAAGGCGTCACAGAAAAAAATGAATTAAGGGCATCCGATACAGTTTCAAGGGAGTTAACTCTTGGCGCGACGTTATGCGTTTGAATTCCCGCAAAACGTCACTTTTTGCGGGACGTAATGCGTGTAATTTTCCGTAATAAGAAACGTAATGTAGATTTTCGATGCTCCAATTTCTGTTTCTCCCGCATGCTAACTTCTAAACCATTAATATTAGTGCATTTGATTCTAACAGGATACTAGTCTAATAAAATCAAAATAAATAAAACACATTACTGTTTCTGTTAGATCTTCAACAAAGTATCGTATAGTGAGCAATCTCAAGACGACTGACCCTTTTGGTGTTACTAATATAATGCATGTCAATTATCATTTTTATTATCATTCATCATCCATGATTTGGTCCGAATCCGATTTTCTGACATTGTATTACAGCACAGAAAACCAATAATATTTTAAAACTAATACCGAAAATTTAGGTACACGAAGAAGTAAATTTCCTAACTGAACAATTTACCAAAATAAATAATGGTATGCCGCTAATATTAACAATGATACAACTAATAAAAGAACAAAGTTCCTATTTCTTCCACGTTGCACGTATTTTATCTAACAAAAGGCAATAGTCAACAATATTTACGCCCGTAAAATTTTGACGGAACGTAATTATGGTATACAAATGTCCGGCGTCTGTCTGTCCGTCTTAAACATGGTACAGCACAAATATCCAAATTTCATTAAACTTAACATAGTTGTTTTTTATGATGGTCAAACGATAAGTATATTTTTTGGTGAACGTTTTGAGTTACAGGACTTTGTAACTAAAACATGGGGTGTTTTTTTCACAGTTCGCGCCGTATCTCAAAAACGATTTATGATTATTGCTTAAAACTGTACACACTTCTTAGTTATATTAATCTGAAGATCTGTATACTTTTTGGGGATGATTCAAAATTTCATTTTATAGTTATTGAGTTTATGAAAAAAAGAGGGGGTTTTCACATGTCGCGCCGTATCTCAGAAACGATTTATAATTATTGCATAAAACTTCACATACTTGTTACTTAAATTAATCTATAAAGATCTGTATACTTTTTCGTGATGATTCTTTAATTCATTTTTGAGTTCTTGAATTTTTATTGAGCTTCAATTTGATATCATATAACACATGATGTGATATATATAAACTTCCTATTGAGAAAGAATAAGGAATGAGTCAGGATATACTTAGCATGAATTCCTGTACAACCCCCGTGTTATTTTAAAAACATTTATTAAGGGTTTTTTTCATAAAACAATGGGCGTATCATGCGCTCGTAGCGCAGCTGTTTATTTTGTTCTTTTTTTTTTTACAAATATATTAGAGAAATGACGGATTGACATCAAATAGAATGCAATTTCCAATATAATTAATATTTCCAAATGGCATAACTCTTTTAAAGAATAGTTGATATGCACTGATTTTCGAACGTGTCCATACGATATTAGTTTTATAAAAATTTGGCAAGAATTGTACACTTGAAAAATCCATTAACCAGAAGGACATAAAGGACAGACAGAGGAATGGGCGTGTGATATTTTATGTACCCCGCAATGCGTCGCGCTGTGGTGAAAAAAAATATATAGTTATTTACATATAAAATTACGCTATGAGACAAGTATTTGGATTTTAATCGCAACTTGCCACCCTCTCCCACTATCTCCCCTCTTCCCCCTAAAAAACAGCATTAAAAACTGAAGAGAAAGTATATAATAGTACAAGATTATAAAAGTGACGTGCAGAGGCGGATTAAGGGGAGGCTCAGGCCCCCATTTTGAGGAAAAATTTTGGTTGGTTATATAGAGAATCACTGAAGCGTGACGAGAGCGGGCCCCCTCTTATGCAGTCAGTGGGCCCCCACTTATGAAAATTTCTGGATCCGCCACTGACTTGCTTTGCAATCGTAATGTAGGTGGGTATAGTGTGGAAAGTTGGGAGAGGAACAGAAACAAACCCAAAGCTGGGGGTGGGTGGGGGAATAGGTAATATGTCCAGTCCTTTCGCTATTAATTCGATCGTTTTGCCAAATCAAAAATTTCAAAATTATGGTTTAGTTTCTCTGTCTGGACAAAAGCATCCTTTAGCAAATTGAAGATTCTCCTTGATAAGATTTTGTTTTTGTTTTCTGACAACATAAAAAAAAGAAGATGTGGTGTAATTGCCGATAAGACAACTCTCCACAAGAGACAAACATGACACAGAAATTAACAACTATAGGTCATCGTACGGTCTTCAACAATGAGCAAAGCCCATACCGCATAGTCAGCTATAGAAGGCCCCGAAATGACAATGTAAAACAATTCAGACGAGAAAATTAGCGGCCTAATTTATGTACAAAAAAGAAGTTCCGTTTACAGGAAAATACCTCATGTAAGTAACCTTTGTGCTGTGATCCAGTGGAAATAAGTATATCAAGTGAACTTTAAAATTGTTTAGAAGCCTATAAATTTTATTCAATTGCAATCATTGACCCTAATAAAAGTTTAATTTTAAGGAGTATTGTAATGAAACAGCAGCCCACCAAACAAAACAAAACAAAAAACAACATCTAGAGGTCAACATATTGTAAAAAATAATACACGAGTGTGTACAGTACATGTACCTGTATGTGAAGTTCTAAATTGCCGAGTCTTTAATTCTAAAAGCCGTAAAATTATCAACAGTCCGTAAAAACTTTTCTTGCGATGTTTCTCACTTAGACCACAAACAGAGACAGGAATTTATGATTCACATGATTTTATTTCCGAAAACAATTTGACCAATTTATAGGTAGCTGTTTACAAGCAATATTTATACATCTAAAAAATGTCGCCGGTAACTTGCAGAGATAACGTCGAAATTGTCTGCCAGCG